GGGAAATAACTCTCATATGGAGTCTCAGTATCACTTTGGTTAAAATTAACTGAAGAATCCTGAGGATTAAACGAGCCATTTGGAAAAGTAAATTTGTCGATTTCTTTTACGGTTGTGAAGGAGATGTACAAACAGAAAAACAGTGTTTGGGGAGATAACTCTTACAAAGAATAGTGTTCAGTTAAGCAGGGTCAAAATTAAAAGTGCATAAACTGTACGATAACATATACCAAATATTTAAGCGACATGTTGTGAAACAAAAATTACACGCAAGAACAAAATTTGGCGGAAAAAAAAAAAAATAAGCAGAACAAATACAATTGGTCATTTCAACTCCTCTGAAACCACACAACAGAATTTCATGAAACTTTCGACTTACTATGTAGATGCGCATATCGACAGGAAGTTATGATTATATTTTTTTTAGGAGTTATGCCCCTTTTAACCTACAATTTTGGACTAAATTTACTACAGCAGCAGTTTGTCATCGCAACTCCTCTGAAACCATACAACAGAATTTCATGAAACTTTGTAGATAATAAGGACATAATATGTGCATGTAGATTTGCATATCCACAAAAAAATTTCACCTTTGACTTTTGTAGGAGTTATTAGTCTTTGAACATAGAAATCAGGTGAGATTTCTTTTACCCAGTGACAATGTGGAGGCATGGGGTATGTGAGCGTGCTCACAAAGGTTCTTTAATATGTGTATGGAATGATAGTAACGTGAACATGTCTTGTCCAGCCAGTTTCATATAACCTTGACCTCATTTTCATGGTCAATGTTAAGTTTTCTCAGTTTTGTTAGTTTATCAGATACTATAAGCAATATGTCAATTATATTTGGTGTACTGAATGATTGTAATGTGTACATGTATATCTGGCATATGACCTTAACCTCATTTTCATGGTTCATTGGTCAATGTTAAGTTTTTGTGCTTTGGTCTGTTTTCCAGATACTATTAGCAATAGGACTTCTATATTTGGTGTATGAAATGATTGTAAGGTGTACATGTCTTTGTGGCATGGTTCATCTGACCTTGAAATGCATGTGATACTTGTAGTAAAGCCTTCCTATTACAGACTTTCAACATTTATTCAATCATAAGTAAAGAAGGCAAGACATTTCAGTGTGTGCACTCTTGTTCCCAACATGTTTCTTTAACAATGTTGTAAAATGCACAATTATGTATATGTGGAACTATAAAATGTAAAAAATCAATAAATTAAACCCAAATGTAAGGTGAAATGGTACCAATAGTTTCTTACAAAAAAAAAGTTCCCAAGTCAGGAAAAATTGGGGAAAATTCCTAAGACAATTCCAACCTGTTAATACTATGCAGTAAGTGTCAGTATTCTTGGAGAGGCTTGATAGTTTTATGTTTCGAGTGTAAAATTGTGCTATACTCTGCTATGGATAAGCAATGACTTCAATGACTATAAACAATTTGTTGTCAACCATACTATTCAAAATAATTTCCTGTCAGTGGCGGATCCAGAGGGGGGGTTCCAGGGGTTGGAACCCCTCCCCCCCCTTTTTTTTGGATGATCAATGCATTTGAATTGGCACATATAGTTGGAACCCCCTTTTATCCTGGGTTGGGACCCCCCCCCCCCCCCCCCCCCCTTTTTAAAATGGCTGGAATCGCCCCTGCCTGTCCTGTAAAAACATTAACGGTACCAATTTTACAGTACCAGATGCACATTTCGACAATGTCTCTGCAGTGTATAATAATTGTTTCCTGGTAAAAAATATAAAATATGCAGAAACACAGACACTATAGCTAGTATAATTCCTCCCTCTTATTGAAATTGTAACAAGACAAGAGGCTCCAAGGATCCTGTATCACTCACTTTGTATTTTTGCATAAAAACAAGAACATTTTGGTTGGATAGAAACTGTGAAGGCCAAAATCTTGTCTTGTTGATCATTTTTACTATTCAAGGTTTGTATCTATCATATCTATTGGAGCTTTTCGAGACTATGTATAAACACTAAAATTGGTCAATAACTCCATTAGGAGTCAAATAAAGATTTCAGAAATTTGACTTGTTTCTTTATCTTTGTCTTGCTGGTATATTTGCACTTCTAAATTTCTTTCTGTATATGTTTAGCTAGAAACACAGAAAGTGAATAGTATCATCATTATAGTTGCTATAAGGGGCTGGTTGATGTATTAGTAGATCTTGTCTAGATGATAGTTTATGCTGTTTAACTTTTCTTTCCATCTATTAAAGTTATCATTATTATATCCATAAAATAGGTAAAATCAACTATTGAGGGCATAACACCTTCAAAGAGTGGACTGCAATTTTGGTCATTTGACTTGTTTGTAGGTCTTATTGCAGATCTTCTTTGCTGTTCATAGTATTTATGTATGTTACTAAAGTTTTTATCAGAAATAGGTATGAATTTTCATTAAAGGCCAATAACTCTCCTAAGGAGTTTACTAATGATTCCAGCCATATTGACATTTTCAGATCTTGCTCTGCTGTTCATTTTTGCATTTTCTTTAACAGTTTCCAATATTTAAGCCAAAAACATCCAAAATGGGTCAAAACCAACATTGAAGGACAATACTTTCTATAAGAAGTCAACTGACAATTTTGGTCATTTTGACCTATAGTAGATCTTATTTTGCTGATATTTTTTGCTATTTGCAGAGTGTTTCTATCTACTATAGTTTCAGCCAAAAACACAAATTGGGTAAATATTATCATTAAATGGAAAAAACCCAATAAGGAGTTGACTGAAGATTTCAGCCATGTTGACATTTGTCAATCTTGTCCTGCTGATCAAAGCTTTCTCAATCTATTGAAGTTTTTGTTTAACCAAAGTTACAGAATGCAAGACATAGGGATTACAATCCAGCTGGGAAATAAACTATTTGTATAAAGCTTTATATTTCAGAGGGTAGAAACCTTGGATGCTTCCTACCTTGTATACAGATGTCTTATGGTTTATTTTGTTTTTGTTATACAAATTGAAAATATATTGAGTAAAAATGTATCCATAACACTAGTTTGAACTTGAGTAATCCAGAAAAAGTATATATATTTCTGGTTTGAATTTATTATGCAAGAAACTTGCATTTGACAGCCATATTCAATTTGGTTCCTCTCTCATTAGTCTTTTTTTCAATACAAAGCAGCATGAGTTTTGAAGTGCACATAACTTTATTCCAAGTGCCAAGCTGGTCTAAAAAAGGCATCACCTGCATACTGGCAAAGGAGAATCAAACTGCTAGAATTTTGATTGAATCCTTTGGTATCCATAAAATATGAAACTGCAACTGTTAAAGCATATTTCTAATCAAAATTCTGTTAAGCATAGACAATATGTACAAGTATTAAAATAGCTCAGCTTTTTGTTTCAAGGATCAGGTTGAAAACTAGGAATTGGTTACACAAAAGTAGGTTATGTGGCTAAAATGATTCTAAAGTCTTGAAAAATGAGGAAAAATAATTGAAAACTAAATCCATACATGTAATAGTTATGCAAATTCAGCATGTGAATTATCTTTCAGTTGGTTACACAACTAGAGGCTCTCAAGAGCCTGTGTCGCTCACCTGATTCTACTTTGGTTTTGGAAATCATGTAAAAATAGATTAAAATCATAACAGATACCCTAATAATGAGTGAGGCCAAATTTGGTTTGATATTGGTCCTGTAATTTAATAAAAAATCCTGGTGGCCATCTTGAACAGTAAATCAGCAACAAAGTAGCAACACTTAATCAGCACCTCATAAGAAACATTTATGCCATGTTTTGGTTTCATTCCATTCAGTGCACCTCTAGAAGAAGCATTTGTATGTATTTCCCATAGGGTCTTATGTTAAAGGAAGTCCCCCCATTGGCGGCCATCATGGATGAAGGATCAGCTTCAAAGTAACAAAAATTAGTCAGCACCTCATAAGGAACATTCATGCCATGTTTGGTTCAATCCATTCAGTATGTGGTTCTCTAAAAGAAGACATTTGTATGTATTGTCCATAGGGTCCTTTGTTAAACATTGTCCCCATCTGGCAGCCATCATAGATGAAGGATCAGCTTCAAAGTAACAACACTTGGTCAGCACCTCGAAAGGAACATGCATGCCATGTTTGGTTTCATTCCATTCAATGGTTCTCTAAAAGAAAACATTTGTACGTATTTCTCATAGGGTCCTATGTTAAACTAAGTCCTCCGCTGGCGGCCATCTTAGATTATGGATCGGCTTCATAGTAACAACACTTGGTCAGCACCTCATAAGAAACATTCATGCCATGTTTGGTTTCATTCCATTCAGTGGTTCTCTAAAAGAAAACATTTGTATGTATTTCCCATAGGATCCTATGTTAAACTAAGTCCCCCGCTGGCTGCCATCTTGGTTGATGGATCGGCTTCAAAGTAACAACACTTGGTCAGCACCTCATAAGGAACATTCTTGCCATGTTTGGTTTCATTCCATTCAGTGGTTCTCTAAAAGAAGACGTTTGTATGTATTTCCCATAGGGTCCCATGTTAAACTAAGTCCCCCGCTGGCGGCCATCTTGGATTATGGATCGGCTTCAAAGTAACAACACTCGGTCAGCACCTCATAAGGAACATTCATGCCATGTTTGGTTTCATTGCATTCAGTGGTTCTCTAAAAGAAAACATTTGTATGTATTTCCCATAGGATCCTATGTTAAACTAAGTCCCCCGCTGGTTGCCATCTTGGATGATGGATCGGCTTCAAAGTAACAACACTTGGTCAGCACCTCATAAGGAACATTCTTGCCATGTTAGGTTTCATTCCATTCAGTGGTTCTCTAAAAGAAGACATTTGTATGTATTTCTCATAGGGTCCTATGTTAAACTAAGTCCCTCACTGGCGGCCATTTTGGATGATGGAACGGCTACAAAGTAACAAAACTTGGTCAGCACCTTGTAAGGAACATTCATGCTATGTTTTGTTTCATTCCATTCAGTGGTTCTCTAAAAGAAGTCATTTGTATGCATTTCCCATAGGGTCCTATGTTAAACTAAGTCCCCCGCTGGCGGCCATCTTGGATGATGGATCGGCTACAAAGTAACAACACTTGGTCAGCACCTCCTAATGAACATTCATGCTATGTTTTGTTTCATTCCATTCAGTGGTTCTCTAAAAGAAGTCATTTGTATGCCTTTCCCATAGGGTCCTTTGTTAAACTATGTCCCTCGCTGGCGGCCATTTTGGATGATGGAATGGCTACAAAGTAACAACACTTGGTCAGCACCTTGTAAGGAACATTCATGCTATGTTTTGTTTCATTCCATTCAGTGGTTCTCTAAAAGAAGTCATTTGTATGCATTTCCCATAGGGTCCTATGTTAAACTAAGTCCCCCGCTGGCGGCCATCTTGGATGATGGATCAACTACAAAGTAACAACACTTGGTCAGCACCTCCTAATGAACATTCATGCTATGTTTTGTTTCATTCCATTCAGTGGTTCTCTAAAAGAAGACATTTGTATGCATTTCCCATAGGGTCCTTTGTTAAACTAAGTCCCCCGCTGGCTGCCATCTTGGATTATGGATCGGCTTCAAAGTAACAACACTCGGTCAGCACCTCATAAGAAACATTCATGCCATGTTTGGTTTCATTCCATTCAGTGGTTCTCTAAAAGAAGTCATTTGTATGCATTTCCCATAGGGTCCTTTGTTAAACTAAGTCCCCCGCTGGCGGCCATCTTGGATGATGGATCGGCTACAAAGTAACAACACTTGGTCAGCACCTCATAAGGAACATTCATGCCATGTTTGGTTTCATTCCATTCAGTGGTTCTCTAAAAGAAAACATTTGTATGTATTTCCCATAGGATCCTATGTTAAACTAAGTCCCCCGCTGGCTGCCATCTTGGTTGATGGATCGGCTTCAAAGTAACAACACTTGGTCAGCACCTCATAAGGAACATTCTTGCCATGTTTGGTTTCATTCCATTCAGTGGTTCTCTAAAAGAAGTCATTTGTATGCATTTCCCATAGGGTCCTTTGTTAAACTAAGTCCCCCGCTGGCGGCCATCTTGGATGATGGATCGGCTACAAAGTAACAACACTTGGTCAGCACCTCATAAGGAACATTCATGCCATGTTTGGTTTCATTCCATTCAGTGGTTCTCTAAAAGAAAACATTTGTATGTATTTCCCATAGGATCCTATGTTAAACTAAGTCCCCCGCTGGCTGCCATCTTGGTTGATGGATCGGCTTCAAAGTAACAACACTTGGTCAGCACCTCATAAGGAACATTCTTGCCATGTTTGGTTTCATTCCATTCAGTGGTTCTCTAAAAGAAGACGTTTGTATGTATTTCCCATAGGGTCCCATGTTAAACTAAGTCCCCCGCTGGCGGCCATCTTGGATTATGGATCGGCTTCAAAGTAACAACACTCGGTCAGCACCTCATAAGGAACATTCATGCCATGTTTGGTTTCATTGCATTCAGTGGTTCTCTAAAAGAAAACATTTGTATGTATTTCCCATAGGATCCTATGTTAAACTAAGTCCCCCGCTGGTTGCCATCTTGGATGATGGATCGGCTTCAAAGTAACAACACTTGGTCAGCACCTCATAAGGAACATTCTTGCCATGTTAGGTTTCATTCCATTCAGTGGTTCTCTAAAAGAAGACATTTGTATGTATTTCTCATAGGGTCCTATGTTAAACTAAGTCCCTCACTGGCGGCCATTTTGGATGATGGAACGGCTACAAAGTAACAACACTTGGTCAGCACCTTGTAAGGAACATTCATGCTATGTTTTGTTTCATTCCATTCAGTGGTTCTCTAAAAGAAGTCATTTGTATGCATTTCCCATAGGGTCCTATGTTAAACTAAGTCCCCCGCTGGCGGCCATCTTGGATGATGGATCGGCTACAAAGTAACAACACTTGGTCAGCACCTCCTAATGAACATTCATGCTATGTTTTGTTTCATTCCATTCAGTGGTTCTCTAAAAGAAGTCATTTGTATGCCTTTCCCATAGGGTCCTATGTTAAACTATGTCCCTCGCTGGCGGCCATTTTGGATGATGGAATGGCTACAAAGTAACAACACTTGGTCAGCACCTTGTAAGGAACATTCATGCTATGTTTTGTTTCATTCCATTCAGTGGTTCTCTAAAAGAAGTCATTTGTATGCATTTCCCATAGGGTCCTATGTTAAACTAAGTCCCCCGCTGGCGGCCATCTTGGAGGATGGATCAACTACAAAGTAACAACACTTGGTCAGCACCTCCTAATGAACATTTATGCTATGTTTTGTTTCATTCCATTCAGTGGTTCTCTAAAAGAAGACATTTGTATGCATTTCCCATAGGGTCCTTTGTTAAACTAAGTCCCCCGCTGGCTGCCATCTTGGATTATGGATCGGCTTCAAAGTAACAACACTCGGTCAGCACCTCATAAGAAACATTCATGCCATGTTTGGTTTCATTCCATTCAGTGGTTCTCTAAAAGAAGTCATTTGTATGCATTTCCCATAGGGTCCTTTGTTAAACTAAGTCCCCCGCTGGCGGCCATCTTGGATGATGGATCGGCTACAAAGTAACAACACTTGGTCAGCACCTCATAAGGAACATTCATGCCATGTTTGGTTTCATTCCATTCAGTGGTTCTCTAGAAGAAGTTCAAAATGTAAAAAGTTTACGCCGACGACGGACGACGGACGCCAAGTGATGAGAAAAGCTCACTTGGCCCTTCGGGCCAGGTGAGCTAAAAATATGTATCCACTCTTAACCACCAACCTGAAATCAACATACTAAAAGCCAGTTTTGTACTTCTTGCAATTCAGCCAAAAATACTGTAGGTTGCCTCTGGCTATTGTGATAGAAAACAAAATAATTAAATGTTTCAATGCTTTATTCACTTTGAAAGGAATGTTAACATTCCATACATATTTGTAAAATCTTCAAATTACCAGAAACATACATTTTGTATAGTCTAATATCAATGATCTAGTCAAATTTACTTTGAGTTGTTTTTTGAATAACCAAAATAATACAATTATTCAAACCTGTATTTTTAAAAACAAAGGTTGTGTCAGTTCTTTGTCCCTTTCTTCTTATTATTGACAGGACAACACTTCATAAGCTATTCTTTTCTTTGGCTCCAAAATATAATTTTGTGCAAAGAATTTATCAAAATGAAAATATATTATAAACAATGGCTTAAAATTCCACTGTGCCGACACACATGTACACCTATAGCAAATAAGCTCTTAACCTGGATTGCCTAATTTTAAAACCTGCCTTAAAATAATTGTTATTCATTGTGGCAGAAAATTCTACTTCATAGCATAGCAGGTTATAAGTATCAGAGTGAATGATTAATTTGTGTAGATGAACAAAGCAAAAAAGATTTTTCAAACTAGTTTGTTAGGTATGATGTAGGAATCTGCCAGTCCAACCTCTAAAAGTTCTAAGGGTAATTTCATTGGCTATTAATAGTATACCCTAAAATGAGAACAATGTCATGTCATTGGTTATTTCCATTGTTTAAGACATTGTTAGCCAATCACAACATTTTGGTGTTGATTTTGAAATTATTACCCACAATGCTTAAGATTCTGAAATGTCTAATAATTTAACTCTATTGTTGTCTCTTTCCTGACCATAACAAAAATCTAACTAACTGGTAATCATAGAAATGAAATTTGCTTAAGATTTGAACTAATATAATGGGAATATATACAATGACTTTTCAACAATTTTTTTTAATAATTACTCCTTGTTGTATCTCTAAATAACAAAATTGATTCACATGTATTTGATAAGATATGTTTCAAAATAATTTTCTTCCATGAGGTACTATCAAATAAAGATAATAGTGCAACAAAACAAGCACAAACATTTAATATGAAAAATGCTGGAATTGTTACATATGTGCCTTCTTTGACAATCAACATTTTGGTACAAAGTTTATAATCAAGACTGAATTACTAAAAAAAAACCAAATAATTTACAATCAAACGACGAAAAAAAATCTGGATATACAATCTACTTTTCATTCTTGGTGAAAAATTACATCTTGCTGAATTTCTTACAATTTTACAGTTTTACTTGTTTGTAAACTAAAGTACTATAATATGATTTATACATATCACGTCACATAGCAAATAAAATAAACTAACAATTTAAGCTTTACTAATATGACAATATACCCTCAAACTGCATTTTTTTTTATTTCTTCATAAATCAAGCATTTTGCCTTCAGCAACATTGAAAATCTTCACATAAGAACAACAGTTCTGACCCTGTAAAATTTTAATGATAAAACTTTTTATTCTAAATTATACATTACAATAAATAAAAACTATTATAATGAACAGTCTTCCACAGTCTATTCATTTTTGATATAAAATAATTCATAAATCTGTTAGAGTTTTTTGTAGAAATAGATTAATTCTATTTATAATATTAATGCAGCTTACACAAGAAGCTGATGCTTACATATGAATATGAAACCACTGCTATCAATTTTAGAAACTCTGCTAATCTAATACATAGATATATTTGAAAGAAAACTAAGCCCAACATCAAATGAATGCAACAAAAAATACATTAAAACTCGATGTGTACTGTATATTTTTTTCCATGAATTAGTTTCTCGATTTCTATATTTCAGAGCTTTTTGGCACTACCATTTCAGCTTGTAAAAATATCTCTAACATTCTTTATATTTTTTGAAATGAACAAATTGTTTTTTGGGGGTCCAAAATTTAATCAGACATAAACAACCTTTTAACAATATACCTGAAACATCTTTTTTTCATACAGAAACAAAAATTATTTGAAATGTTTATAAAACCATTGTATTTTCAAAAAGGTATTTAACTATGGACTGAAGTGCAATACCAATATAAACTCATTTTCTAAATTAAACTGATTAAATATCTACAGAATATGTCACAGTTATGCAAATTTCACTACCAATTATCAAAATTATTTAATATATCTTTTGTCAAAAATTAAATTATCACAGTTAAATTATAATATAACAGTGTATCTTATTTACATTAAAACATAGTTCAAACTTAATGGGACTGCAAGTGCATTGAGCAACATGATTAACTAATGCAAAATTTTCACATTTTTTTTCCGTTATTGAGGATTAGAAAAAAAAAATTCAGGGCTCTGTATAATGTTGTTATTGCTTGAATACTGCAACAGAAACCTTACAAATTTCATACTCCAATAAATTATTAAAATCTTCTTGGTATAAACAGAAACTGAACTCTTAAAAAATTTATATGAAAATATTTCAATATTTCAATGGAATAATTTATAAGCTTGTTTTATCTTGATCCATCTTTCTTAAAAGAGCACATACAACTTATAACTTTCTGGCAAGACATTTGCTTTGAGACAGAACCAATCGGATTAAACGAACTGAATAAGGGAGACAACAGACATGCAGACTATGTATTTTGTCAAAACTGACATGTTAAACCAATCAAATGGTATATGAAAACACTGTCCTTGTTTGTTATTTTTTTATGATAGTTTTGTACATATTCTTATGAGTTTACAGCAAAGTTCTATAACATTTATAACAGAATAATTATAAAGCTTTTGTCCATTATGAAAATCAGCCTTATTTTCATAATATACCAATTTAAACTTTTCCCTCCATTAAAGAAACATTTTGCCATAGATTTTTAATGTCATAACAGAAAATATTTGACAGCACAGTACAAGAATAATCGTTTTGCAAATGTCATTCGTTGACAAACTACAGCTAAAATGAAGTAAGTTGTACAAATGTCACGGAACACAAAAGTAATGTATTGATAAATCATATCAGGACAGTAGAATAAATTATTTCGTCTGTTTCTAGATTTTGTATAATGGAATCTACTACACAGGCAAACAATGCAATAAAGAACTTAAAGAATATTTTATTTTATTACTGATTTATGTTTAGATTTAATTTTTTTTTCATTTGTAGTAAATTTTTGACATAATTCAGAAAAAAGGTTTCCTTTTGAAAGTAAAAGAAAACATGGATCAAGAAAAAAACCAAAGTGCCTGTTTTTCAAGCGCAAATTTAAATTCAATGTTTGAGTATCTGAACAAACTTTCTACACAATCTGCAATAAGTTCAAGAATTGAATTTTTCACCATCTAAATCATCATAAAAACATATAAATTCTGACGCAGGCTTTGTCACAGTAATAAAACAACAAAATAGTAACATTTACAAAACATAAAACTTGTGAATTTTCAACATAGATCTGATAAAAGAGATACATACTAATAAAACATAGTGTGCTGAACACATTCCATCAACAAGTAATTCTGGATAAATGAATTCTATTGCAGAAATGTATACATTAATGCTTACCCATAATATCAATGAACCCACTGCTTAATTATCACAATTATTTTTATTTGAACAGATGAAAATTAAACGACAAAATAATTATTTTTGGGCCTTAGTAAAACAGATATCTGGTAAAAGATAACTGCCATTGCAGTAAATTTTGAACTATCAACACTGAACTTTAGACACTGCCACAAAACAGTGCTGACCTCTAAATACTACAAGGTCATCTGGAACAAAGTAGATTCCAGGTGCAGATTGAAAGACAATGGGCACAACTTCTGGGGGCATGAAGGTGGAGTGTCTTCTGACATGAACTTGACAAATATGATGACCGTAAAAGATTAAAATTAAAATATGGCACATAAATACTAGCTTGCAACATTCATTTTACTTTTCACTGCTTTAAAATTTATTATTTCTAGAAAAGAAAGACAAATGATACTTCAATATTTTGGCAAGAAAATGAGATCCTGGTTGTTTTTTCGTACTTTTTGAATGAAGTAATAAAACAATTTATCTGATAAAAATCCAAAATATAATTAAAACTGGGCACCATCATTCCACATGAATTATCTAAAAGCTATTAAACATCTGTTGAAAATTTTATCCAATATGGCCGATTTGCTATAAGTTCACAATACTGTAAAAACATATGATAATTTACAAGATTTACCTCCCTTTACTGTAATATACTCCCATTGAAGCAAACTATTAAGCACATTGCTTATACTCGAGTTGAATGAATCAATGTTAACATATACCACTAGAAATTTTCATGGTCCAATTACTGTAAATCCAGAAATTATTGCGAGGTTTTTACTAATGATAATATTGCAAATGTGCAAGTATCTCAATAATAAGAACTCGCATTCTGATATCTGATGCATATATATGTATGCAGTTTTCCCCGAAATCGCAATGATAAATATCGCATTTATGTCCATTCTTCAAAAATCGCAATAATTTTTGAATTTACAGTACTGCTGTGTCAAAAATCATTTATTTAAAATCCAGAATTACTCAAATATTTGCAAATAATAAATTAAAAATGGACAATTGATTTTTAAATATGTACATTTGAAATAAATTACAAATTGAAACAAAAGTCATTTACATCAATAAAATCATTTATTTAAAAATAATTTGAAAAATTGTCCTAATTTGCCCCTATGTCAATTCATACGTAGATGAGGCGGCCTATTTGAAGTTCCTGGGAATGCAACAGACTTGAAAGCTGTATTTTTGGTTGCTATAGCAGGTGATGTTGATCGTTTAGGTATGGTTACTGTGGTATCCATTGCTTCAGCTCCTTCAGAGCCATTATGTTGCCCAGCAACACGGAATCCTTCGACTAATGCATTCTGCTCAGGACTAGAAAATAAAATGTAAAAATAAATTTCTTTATTGTATTTTTGACTAAATATTAAAATACGATTCATAGATAATCTAGATAACCTTTACTGGCAATCATGACTTTATATTATGGTGTAGAATACAATAAATGATTTTCAATGAAGTGGCTAAAAGAATTTTTCAATGGATAATTGTTCCTTTAATAATAAACCTTGCATCCACTCAATAAAATCATACACTCTTAAAACTATTTCTGGGTCATTTTTTTTTTAATGAAAACCCTGTTTTGAAGCCTATTATATTTACACTATCAACAAAAATAATTTGCTCAAAATCCACTCTAGTACAATCATTCTGAATATCAGACAGAACCAGAAATCCCAAAAGGAATCACCCCCGTAATCATAGATTATCAATGGTTTGATAAAAGAGAGGTTGTTTCTCAGCTACAATCTCATTGAAAGGCGACAGCACTGAGATGAGATGTGGCCTAGAACCATCCTCCTGTTTGAAAGACCATTGATAATCTGGTTATTGCTAGCTTGCCTATGACGTCGTTGGTGTTTACATTGACAATGGCACGTGCCCCTTAGTTTCTAGCAATAAGTTCTATCCCAAGCAAGTAGCATGAAATGAAAAATTATCACAAAAAAAAAAGATCAAAAAAAAAAATACACAAAATAGCGATAATACTATATAGTATATTGAAGTAATTCCAATTATTTCCACTTTAACATGATCAACCCCTGATCATAATCCTTTAAGCATGTCCTCAGGTTTTCCCACTGTGAAGTGTTTCATCAAGATGCCTGTAGCCATTTATAAAGTGAGTTGCACTTACAAGTCACATGGCAATGTGATTCCTATATACCTTCTCCCCTACACCCAAAATATTTTGCTGAAGGTATACATACTTTGTAAATGGAAATCAAATATATATATATATATATAGGATTGAATTATACCATTATGACAGAGTCAAAAATCAAGCCTTCCAAAAGGCTATTTACAAATCTTATGTTTCATTTGTTGTTTGTATCAAAAATCACATGCACACACATGTAACCCTAAACTTAAATGTACTAATAAATACTGTACAATTATCTTTTCCTTTATACCGATGAATACTATTACCAAAAATATCATCTGATCCATGTGTTTAATAATCTTACCTCATGTCACCTCTAGTAAAGCTGTTCCCAACCTTCCTCGGTGATCGTGGTTCTTTCTCAGATATCCATGGCTTATTTAACTCTTCTAATACTGATGGTGCTACATAAGTAAATCCCTGAAATGTTTGAAAAGTGGGTATGTAATTCAAGATTGGCATGTTCAAATTGTTGACTAGTAATATATGTAACTGCGTAATTCATGTAATGATGTTCAAATCTCTCAGGTAAATGTGATTTATAGACTCTTTTGGCATTTTTTAAAATTTAAAATAACAAAAGAAGATGTCTATTACATGTTACAGTTGAAATAATAAAGCATGCAAATCAAGAGTTTAAATGCCTTGCTTGCAAACTTTGTTTGGTTATTTGCTCATACATTGTAATTAAGATTGACATCTAAATTCAATGGGAGCAAAAATCAACAGAGAAAACAAATGGTGATTAAAAAAATCTTTATTTCCCTAACAATTGTTCATTCTAACATTATTGACTAAAGCCCCTGTTTAAAATGATGCTTGGTATAACATACTATAAACATGCTTTGTGACCTTCAAACCAGTTTATGGTTAATAGCAACCATAAACCTAATTAAAATCTTTGAGAAAAAAAAACAACATGGTACCCAGGAAAAGTAAGATTTTTCATATAATTAATTGGCATGATGTAAATTCAGTTGAAGATCAGAATTATTTGCTGGTAAAATGATGAAATTCTCTTCTCCATTTCAATATCACTTCTAACGAATTGTACTCCATTTAGGATATCTTTAAAACTTGCTCTCATTCATTGTGAGGTCTTTCTGTTGCCAATAACCATATGGTTGAGAGCAAAAAAAAGTGTGTAATTAATAAAGCTGGTTTGTTTTTTGAAAAAAGTTAAATAAAATGTATGTGCATGTAATTATATTAGGGAATATAGAGAAATCTCATTAATTTATAGAGAAATCTAATTAACTAAAAATAAAAAAGATTAATTTTTCCTTTATAAACAGATTCAACAGAAGAAACTGGTTCAGGACTGACTAAAATTGAATAATTCCAATGGATTTTTCAGGGTGCATAACATATTTCTAGAATTCATAAACCGTGAACTCTCTTCTTCTATACATCTTATATTTATCTAGATAAAGATATGTTCAGTATATCACATTAAAACTGTTATGAAATTTTAAAGGCCTTATCTAGAGGAAAAAGTGACCAAAAGTTCTTGATTTGTAACACATGCACTATTTTGTTTTAAGAAAATTTCTTTGCTTGCACCTTACTATGTTACTGTTTATAGCTCTATCAACGTAACCCCCTTCCACATACACCTCCATGCCTTATGAAAATATCAACACATCCTCATATTATATATATTTTGTCCTTTTTATATATTCTTAGACGAACAGAAAACATTTATGTGTAACTTACAACAAATACTTGATTTGCACTTTCACTAAGGATGGTATCATCAGGTGAATCAACAGGAGTTTGCTTGGTAAACTTTGTATCAAACTGACTCACATCTAACTCACTTGTCTGAAATACAAATGTAAAAAGCTTGAAAAGTTCCTTAATAGTCAGGAGTTTGCTTGGTAAACTTTGTAGCAAACTGACTAATATCTAACTCACTTGTCTGAAATACAAAAGATGAAAAAGTTGAAATTTTATTCTCCTTCAGTACATTTTGGATTCATTTTTTTTGTAGGTACCAAATTTCATGGATCTAGGAAAAATTGTATATTCATAAATATTTGATTTTGTGGATCTGCCCAAGTCTGAATACAAGCCTGTAGAAAACTTATGCATCATTTAACAAATTAATCTGACATTAAAAAAAAGAAGAAAGAAGTAAACATTTTTATATTCAATAAAGCATGTTATTTTTGCTTATCTTTCAGATCAAACCAACCAATCTTACACTTGGGAGTTGTTGGTTAGTGTGGTCTGTTGCACTGTTCAATATTTTTAGTAATTCCTGTTAATGTGATTTTATTGTCCATCTACTTTTATTAGTTGACTAAGAAAATCACCACTTATGTCTCAATATTTAAAATTTAAGCAAAATAACATCAACATCAATACCCATAAAGTAGCTATTCTTATAATTTATAAAGGGTTTACCTTAACTCATGTTAGAAATTATAATTTGTGTAAAAGTATGCTGAATACAGGAGATGACTTTATAATATTGTAAGATTTGTGTCTGATCCTTTTCAAATCATTGATTAAATGAAATAGGTTTATAACTATTTCATTAAATCATTGATTAAATGAAATAGTTATAAACCTAAGCAATATCATACAAACTACTTCAAAACATTACTATTCTATTGATTACTACTACTTACAACTGAGGGTTTAAATGGAGGTTCTACTTTTCTATTAAATAATACTGTCCAATCTATATGTCTGAAAAATGGATGGACCTAAAATAAAAATACATAAAATAGCATTAAGATAAGTTGTCAAAATTAAACATAAAATAAGACAGTCAGGGGCATAACTTAAACAAGTAACTTTTAAAATTACCTATACAAGTAATGTTGAAAACGAGGCTATTTTAAATATTACTTATATAAGTAACTTTGCAAAATTTTATTTTTATAGGTGTCCAATTCTACAGATTTTAATAGCTTTAACAAATTTTCACAGTCATCTGTTTTTTTTTCCCATGAAATATAAAATCTAATCCTTCTGAAACACTAATTGCCTTTCTGACGCATTTATCTTTCATATCGACGCTTCTGGGTCAAAGATTGGTCTCTTGGGACTATTAAAATATAATTTTCCTTAAAAATCTTGAAGGTAGACAGATATAGGTAGATAGAAACTTGTGATTTAATGTTCCTTAAATAAGTGTTGTTACTAATTCTTTCAAAGATGTATAAAATAACTTATTCAAGTAATATTTTTGTCATTATTTTTAAAGTAACCCTTTATCTCTATACTCCTCTCAAATTTAATAAATTCTTAATTTTATGATATAAAATGATGTAAAAATTCATGAAAACTACATTTAGTTCATGCTTCTGTTGAAATTTAAAATAACTCTATTGAGCAATTTATAATTTTTAAAAACGAAAATTACCTATATAAGTAACTTAAAATAATAACTTGTTTAAGTAACGCCCCTGACTGATAGATTGTCCTGTTTTGTCAAAAATATGTAACTGTTGAGTTTCTTTATATTATACATCATACAGGAGAGGCCATTGGCAGTGAACTCTCTCATACAAAGTTAATATTTAGTGTTCCATTTCATTTTAAAATTTGTTAAATGCTATATTTCACTTAAATTTATAATAGGGTCATTTAGTCAAAAAGTACCATTTTGAGCAGTAATATATATTACATCAACATTAATTTTGAATTTCCATTTGAATGCATTGGAATGAGACATTTAGAACAAGTTAAATAAAGATTCTTACATTGGTACCAGTGGATTATTGGATTTATCCAATCGAGGTAGTTATATTATTGAAAGTAAAGGTGATAACCTTTTAGCGTAGCCAAACATCAACTGAGATCATCCAATCATCTACTGAGATCATCGGTAACTACACATTGATTAAATATTGGGTCGAAAAGTTGAGAAAGGGTTAAATAACCAAAGAATTAGAGAAAAAGTGTAATATTTAAAATAAACTGTTAACACAGAGATATGTCTTGTCTTTTTGAACATTTGATAATGCAAATGTTGAAATTAAAATAGCAATACTTTAACATGTAAGTTACGCAAATATTCAAAGTCAATGAACCATGACTGAAGGTACATGGCAAAACAATCTCCATGGAAATGAGATGTGCCAATGCTAATACAACTGAATCCCAAATACCATAGACATCATAAGTCGTTCCCTTTCAACAAACCTAAACACAAACATTGACTTGTAAACTATGTAAAAGTTTCAAAGTCAATGAACCATGATGAGGGGGAGGGGCTATATAATCTCCATGGAAATGAGACTTGCAAATGCAAATAAATTTGCATACCAAATATCATTGAATTAACAATAGCGTTCATCTTAAACTGATCTAATCACAAACTAATACATGTAAACTAAGCAAAAGTTTCAAAGTCAATAGACCATGACTGAGGGGCCATGGAAATGAGATGTGCTAATACTTATACAATTGCATACCAATTAACATTGGCCTACCACTAATGGTTCCCCTTGAATTGACCTAATCACAAACTAATTCATGTAAACTAAGCAAAAGTTTCAAAGTCAATAGACCATGACTGCAGAGGCGGGACCAAATATTCTCCATGGAAATGAGATATGCCAATGCTTATACAACTGCATACCAAATATCATTGACCTACCACTAGTGGTTCCCCTTGAACTGACCTAATCACAAACTAATACATGTAAACTAAGCAAAAGTTTTAAAGTCAATAGTCCATGACTGAGGGGGCAGAGCATTGGAGGAGGAAGAAAGAGTCCCCTGAGAGAACCACCAACCTTTAGAAGGAAAACTAAGAAGTCCTGGCCAATAAAGATTGGAAACAGCATACCTATGTCTCGCTTTTTGACTCCGTCAAGGCGAGACAAAAAACATATGTCACAGTCATTCGCTATTCAGCAATGAATGTTTGTACCACTCTTATTAATTGGTGCTTTCAAAATTTATAGTTAATTTTTTGACATTACAACATCCCTTTAGTCATAACAATGTCAATGATGTTCATTGTTTTACTTGTTTACTAAAGAATTTCATTAATTTATTAATAAACTTTTTAAAGGCAGTACAGTGACCTATAGTTGCTTACATCCATGTCATTTTGACTCTGGTGGATAGTTGTCTTATTGGATCATACCACCTCCTTATTTTTAGCAGAGAGGACAAAATGACCATTATACACTCCTACTTTACTTAGCTTTACTCCAGTAAAAACCATATGGTGGGGGGGAGGAGGTGTGTTGGAAGGCACTTTTTTTTAATTGCCATCACCCAAACAATTGCATTTTACTTGGCTTACAGAACCACACAATTTGAACTTCTTGACCTGCCACCACCCATACAAAATAATTCAAGTGCAATCGCCAACCACCCACCCCCTATACTTTTTTCTGTAATACCCCTTAGTGAATGGTTAAACAATGGCACAGGTATCAGAATCCCAATGACTTATCAGTATTACTTACTCTTATAGGTTTGGCATCCTCGGGACCTCCACCTAATCTCTCATTTATATTCTTCTTCAGTAACTACAATTATATGACACTGTAAATTAACAAATATACATGTATGACAATATAATTAACAAATAATATGACACTGTACATTAACAAGACAGACATGTGATTGAATAGTTTGAATTTTTTTCTTCTCTGTACCTAAGTGTAATCTGTTCTATTGTAAACTTACCACAATAACAACATTTATGATCTTGACTAAAAGCAAACACAAATCATATTTTCAAGAAATAATATTAGGATTACAGTGTTTTCCTGAAATTGTACAAAAGATTTCTCATGTATAGTTATTTTGCTTTCTCTGTATAAATACTCAATGCATATGACTATATCTCCATTTGCTTTTTCCTGTTAGGGCCAAGAAAAATTAGATTTTCATCCTTACTCATCTAAAAAATGTTAACTAAATGAAAAAAATTTGGCACTCTGCTTTTCAAATCAGTAAATATTCATCAACAACTGAAAAAAAAAACAGTACCAGCATAGCCTATTTTTTGAAAATCTCTATTCATACACCATCCTCTTAATCATTCACATAATACCTATGACAAATTCAATATTCTGCAATTAAAATCTACAAAACATACAAATATAAAATAAAATAGGATCATTAAATAAACTAGAGGCTCTCAAGAGCCTGTGTTGCTCACTGAGGTATGTGTATCTTCCACAATGGACACTCCCCAACATAGAAGACTAAAATATAATTCATGACAAAAAATTTTGTTGATATGTTTTTCTGTATACAGTTCCACTTCGTCTCCTTTAGTTTTTGCCCAAAACACAATAAAGGTCCAGATAATAGACAAAACTTTTATCTTATCCCTATGTTCTATTTCTTAGGACAACAGACGCCAAGTGATGAGGAAAGCTCACTGGGCCAGGTGAGCTTAAAATAGGAGGTGCACAATGCCATTAGGCATTTCAGGATTCTGTGCTCATGAAGTTTCCTAAAACTTATAGTACACCATCTTTACAATCAAAACTTTGTATCTGACTTCCATACTAAAAACAAATAGCATTTCTAACTTACCTTCTTAATTAGATTTCTTGCTTCATTTGTAAGGTATGGAGGTAAACTCAGTTTAGCTTTTAAAATCTAAAACAACAAACATATTAAAATATGATAATTCATTACATTTTAATAAAACCATAAAGCTTTGGAGTCATTATTTGAAATGTTCTCCAAGACTTAACATGTACCACACATATATAAAATTAATCTTCAAAGTGTAATTTTTTTTTTAAGTCTTTGTTTTTTGGTGTTGATGTCAAGTGTGTTATCCCCTTAACTGAATTTATTCACATCTTTATTACAAAATAAAGATTAAGAGTTTTGAATATAATGTTGATGGTGATTCAGATTTATAACATTTCAGTGACCAGTTTTTTTTTTTTATTTTTGCGCTACTGTCTCTTTGCGCTTGATTAACTCTTTATTCATGGTGTTCAAAATATTCTTTTCAGAATTTTATTCATTTATTTATGAAGAGACCAACAGATAAGCTTTACTATAAAATGTGTTGTAAAATGAAGTCCCAGGTACCTGAATCAAAAAATTAATTACTAGTATTACTTACTCTTATAAGAAAATAAATCGATTTTATTAAAGAATTATTTTTTATGTGAAAACTAAATTACCTTGTCAATTGTTTTCTTCCTATTTTCTGCTGTAAATGGAGGCTACAAAAAATAATTGAAAATAAAATGAAAATCTTACAATCACACTACAAAACTAATTAACTCTCAGGATCATCTTAACCAAGTAATTTTACTTTTATTTTGCATCAAACAATAGACATTTGCTTATCACTGGTACATGTAGTTAATACGTATATAAACATTATCACTATAAGTACGTTATACTTTGTAAGTATATTATAAAGTTTTTTGTTCCCCAATATTTTGATTTTTTAAAAGTTATTGCTACTATCCTTCTTATTCATTTTTCATATATTGGACAACTTTCTGATATTATAAAAATCAAACAAAAAAGGAAAAGAATCTTCCCCCCCCCCCCCCCAAAAAAAAAGTGTCTGAAATAAAAAATAAATTGATAAGGTTAACAGTATGTTATTCTTTCAAAGTTTGAGCTCCAGAATTTAATGATTTTTAAACAAACAAAAAACTACTTACAGCACCAGTTAACATATCATACATTAAAGCTCCTAAACTCCACCAATCAACAGCTTTACCATGACCACTCCGTGTTAAGATTTCAGGTGCCCTGAAACAGAACATTCACAAATTTCAGTTTTTAAAGTTATATATAGTTATATGGTGTTGATCCATTTTATGTTAACTGAAATCTGACCATGTGATGAAATCATCTTTTCATTGCAAAAATTCAAGTTGTTAAAATTTTTGAAAGAGAATTAAGGCCCACCAAAAAATGGTGTATTAACTGTCACTTGCTGCAATAAAATGGGGTCTTGTGGGCTGGCAAAAAGTTTCTTATTTACTGTTTTTTTTTATTTGACCAGCTAAGCCATAAATAGTGCAATCCATTTCCCAAACACAATCAGGTTTGTATATACCAATATTTAAAGTTAGCAGCCATTTTAATTTTTGTCAGTCAGATAAGTTTTTACTAGGTTTTACACACTACTTGATGACAATTTTCAGAAATAAAAACACAGCTGTCAAGAACAAAACTGGTGTTTATATAGTTAGCTCAATTTTCGGAGAAAAAATACTTTGAGTTATAGTTAGCTCAATTTTCGGAGAAAAAATACTTTGAGTTGGCCCTAAAAAAATATGGTTGGTCTGGAAACCGTAAACACAGCTGTCGAGAACATAACTGGTGTTTATATAGTTTATAAATATAGTTTGCCCAATTTTCGGACTTTGGGTTGGCCCTAAGGGAGCTACCATTTAATTTTTAGGGGGGGGGAGGGGCCTAGGATGAAATTTGAAAAAGGCAGAACAGGAGTTTTGAGTAAAAAAAAAGGTAGGATGAGCAACTTGGCAAAAAAAAAAGGCAGGATGACAATTTATGTAAAAAAAAGTCAGGATAAACTAATAAAAAAAAACGGCAGGCCCGTATAGAGTGAAAAATAAAAATGCAGGACAGAGATTACAACTAACAAAAAAATGCAGGACAAAATTTTTGATCCTAGCCCCCTCCCCCCCCATAAAAATCAAATGGTAGCTCCCTAAAAAAAATACGGTTGGTCTGGAAACCGAAAACACACAGATTTTTATTGGCATATCAAAAATGTCCATTTATTAATTAATAATGATTATTCATCTTTACCACACTAGACCATATATTAAGAATTAGGTAAAGAATTTGATATAGACTTACATGTATTCTATAGTACCACAGAATGTATGAGTTACATTTCCATCATTTATAGATTCCTTACATAAACCAAAATCTGTCAATTTTACATGACCTGAAAATATACAATTATGATGCAAATTATTTTAATTTATAAATTCTTTTGTATTAAAAGGAAATTGCTAGCTATTCTAATATGACGAAAAGATTATAATGGACTGTTTTTTGTTTATTGTTTAATTAATTAATAAATACCATTTATAAATAACATTAGTACTTGTGTGAATTATTTTACATTTGTCATTACGGAGTGTTTTAAGCTTACTATGCGGTATGGGTTTTGATCATTGTTGAAGGCTGTACAGTGACCTATAGTTGTTTACCTGTAATTCATACGGTCTCTAGTGGAGAGTTGTCTCATTTTCAATCATACCACATCTTTTTATTTTTATATTTACATGTAAATACATTGAAATCAGAATCAAAAACATGTGCGTTAGGTGTATTACAAAAATTAAATTGTGTAAATTTTGATGAAATGATCACAAAATTCAATTTTGACTTAACAATAATATTATGGTTAGAGCTTAAATGATAACCCATCCAAATGAATAATTCAGTTTTCATTGGTCTGAGAAATTCAAAGGTGAACAACAATCTATAATATGATTTTTATACAACTAATGATGCTAAATATTATCTTATGGTGACAGAATTATGAAAGACTGCCTTGTAAAGTGTTAGCCAAATGTAATTTATTTCACGAAGCAACTCTCCATTCCTCCACTAATGTGAACTAAAATGGCTCTACCATCAAGTTATACAAACAGACAGAACTGGCATTTAAATTTCTAAAAAACTTCCAGTATATATGTGAGTACTCTATGATTGGTACCTTGTGTTTTTAGTCTTTTTATTAGGGTTTTGTGTGCTTAGTGCATTTCTTTTCCAACTGATTTTTATAGTTTGTTTGTATGTTGTGCTAGGGGGATTGAACATTCACAAACATATATCATGCATGTTTAACCTGCTTTATTCTGTATGTGCCTGTCCCAAGTCAGGAGCCGGTATTCAGTCGTTGTCTGCCTTACCTGTATTTGTTTTTTCTAGCCTAAATCAGGCCATTTCTTTTCTCTTTTAAATTGTGTTATATTTTGTCAGGCTGGGGCTTTTAAAAACATATAAAACTGTACGGATTTTGATTATTAGTGAAGGCAATACAGTACACTACAGTTGTTTACATCCTCATACTTTGGTCTCTGGTGGATAGTTATCTCATTGGCAATCATACAAAATCTCCTAATTATAATTGTATATATGCTAAATAAACCTACCATGTGCGTCTAAAAGAATGTTTTCTGGTTTCAGATCTCTATATATAATACCCTGAGAATGCAAGTGTTCTATAGCTACTAATATTTCTGCCAGGTAGAAACTGAAAAAGATAAAGATAGTAATCCTCCACTAATTATTCTTGTAAAAATGATGAAAAACAAATGTAAGGTAATATTATAAAGCATCAAATTTTAAAATATTCAATCAAAATAATTTGAATGCATTCTATGTTCCATACAAAATACCACTTTTAAAATCATATTAAATATTGAATAAAGTATTCCACTACTCTGAAGATATTAAATTCCAGATATATACCATGTAGCTAGCATATTTTCATTAATTTTTTTTATATCCATTGAAAATAATGAAATTGAAGATCTCCATCCCATCATGTGGCAAAACTATATTTATAGTTTGCAACTATATTTTTTTCAAGGGATGGGGGTATTACAAGAGCCATTATCTGGTTTAAGGCATTGTAAATATACTACCCCATCCCTTGAAAAAAATATAGTATAAATATAGTTTTGCCACATGATGGGATGAAGATCTTCAATTTCATTATTTTTGATAAATTGAAAGCTCTCTGCATTTTGCAGTCACTAGGCTAGCCAGTACCAAAACAAGCCAATAGAATTAAATATGAGATTTTATCATAAATTATGTTTTATAGTCTTACATGAAAGTGTCAACTTACCAAGCTGTGTCCTCCATGAAAATACCTTCCCTTTCTAATTGCATGAACAACTCTCCACCAGGGAGATATTCTAATATTAGGTATAATTTACCACCAGTTTGAAATGCATACATTAAATCAACTATAAAAGGATGCTGAAAATAAAACAAAAAATATTCAAATATATTAATCTTCACAAGATATAACTTATAATATATAATATTTACAAAGTCTGAATCTCAAACTGAGGATATCAATTAATATTTTATTTTTAGATATGTATTAATGTATGTATCATTAAGCATTCTAGTCATTTGGACTCTGGTGGATAGTTGTGTCACTGACACATGTGACAATCATACCACATCCCTTGTTTTAATTTTTGTGGCAAGTATATATTGTCATCTGTTATGTGTAATAAAGCAAGTACATATTGTTCAGTGTTACTTATGGACACGGGTATGGTGTATAATGGTTGTGAGGTAACTACTAAAAGAACGGAAATCATAAAAATGAGCAATTTTTCCATTCAAAAAGGTCTAGAACGGTAAAAGTGACATTACCCGCATTCAAAATTGATCTGTATTTTGTGGTAATAAGCATTGTTAAGTATAAGTTTCATAAAATTCGGTTTAGGGAAACTTATTTTGTTGTATGTAGACTGAATTACAGACGGACAAGGGTAACACTTAATGCCCCCTCTGCTGCAATGCCCCCTCTGCTGCAGCGGGGGCATCATAAATGTTGTCATTAAACCAATATAAATCTTTTAAGTGTAAAAAAATACTTTAGCGATAGTATTTTTTTGGGGGGTTGGGGGGAGAGGTCACCCCCAAAAGCAACAGAAAAAGAAATGAAAAATCAGCATGTAGCTGTCAGTATGCCTTACCTTAACACATTCCAGTATATTTCTTTCTGCCTTTGTATGTGCCTGATCCTTGGCATTTCTTGCTATTGAGGCCTATCAACATGAGAAAATATATGAATTGTTTTATTACCACATATACATTTATACAAATATTTTTTAGAGTTGAATCATAGATTCTAATATGACATGCTGCTTTCTCTTTGGATACAAAAGTGTGATAAAATTCTCAATATATTTATATTAAGTGCAGACTCACAGAATTACACATTTATGGCTGTTGCTGTTTACCTCCCATATAAATAAGCATGTATTGTAACCTATGTGCAAACACTATGTCGATTTCGCTGTTTTAAAATTGCACTTAAAAAAAAAACAAGACATAACTGTTATTGCCATTCTAATGCATAACAAAACGAATTAATGCATAAGAGCATAGAAAAATTATAAAATAAAAATCAAATTAAAATCAGCAAAATTCCATTATTGATCCTGGGGTAATAATGTGATGAAAGTTATCCCATTACTTGTATGCTCCGAATTCAGATCATATCTAATTAAAATAAAATTTTGAGGTAGTTGTTGTTTCATTCTCTATATTCTATTGCATTATTCACACATTAATTGATTTCAGTAATTCAACATGGCAGCTCCTTAGTTACTTAATGTCAACTGTGGATTTGATGGTACATTTTGTAGCTTACTAAGAAAAAAATTGTAAATTAACAAGTGAAAATATCTAGGCTGGGAATTGAAAGGTTTAAACACATTTTTTTCTATAGATTATATAAGAAATAATTCATGCAAGCTATAAATTTATTGGAAATTTATTAGCTTTATCAAACAGTGAAATAGAACAGCCACATACAGGGCATACTTATCCTCACTTCAGTTTTCTAATTACTGTATTTGTCCCATTAGAATCGAAATAATACATCAAAGCCATAGATTTGTTATCATTTTCATATGACCTGGGCCGTTATATTCATTAAATATATTCCTCAATAATACTCAGGATAAAATTTGAATATAATGGCTTGGTAGTTGAAAATTTCCAACAAATCTATGGCTTGCATGAATTATTTATTAATTATAAGGTATATTTTTTATTTTGTGCAATCCTCATCCTTTAATTTATTTGCAATTGTTTTCCTAATTTAAGCTTTAATATACAACTCACCTTCTTTAACACTTTCATGGCAAATATTTTTCCATCATCAGACCCTGATATTTTTCTTACTTGAAAGACCTGTAAGTAATAATAAGGATAACTTATGTTAGTACACAGAAAAAATGTTTGTGATTAATAAAGTTTAATTTCTTTTTATATTTTTTTTCTCATAAAAAACCATCTTATACTGGTAATATTTGTAAAAGCTTTTTGTTTTAATCTGTAAATCAGTCTGTTGATTTTGTTACACTTCATTAATATGCATTGCATACTGCATGACTGATCTTTAATTTCATTTAAAAGGGAAAACTGTTAAATTGTCTGTTACATATATATGAGTGCACTTTTTGCTTTTTCACAATCTGTCACAATAAAGTTGTTTTCTAAATTATATTATTTTCTGTCTGCTGATCAGAGAATTAAAATCTATTTAACTATTACTTTGTCTGTATTTCATTTTTTCATCAAAGGATGTGTACACAACGGAGATTAACCTCCTGAACCTACAGTGAAATCTTCTAAAGATAAATCTTACAATCTGAAAACACATAGACATTTCTTTCTTATTTTATCCCATTGTAGACACTTATTTTAATCCACAAATTCATCAAGACTTAATTCTATTTAAACAAAACTTTCAGTATTTTTTATAACAACAAATTCCGTGTAGTATGGATTCAAGTATTTTTTCATGGATTGAGGAAAGATTGTGTTTTCTTGGATACATGAATTTGTGCTTTTTAGCAATTCTTCACAGAAGCCTAATTATTTATATGAAATTTGTATTTCTCTAACTTGAACACTTGAATTTAGGGTTCATTTATACCAACAACTCCTCTATAACAAGTATCCCACAATTAATAATCAATCCAGAGCATATTGTTAATTTGACCACTAACTTTTCCATATCCCCCTTTCCCAAGAACTTTAAGCAGTTCAAAATCTTGTGGTCCAGTTTTATTCTGTCCTGGGTTAACAGTGTTCTCTGTTAATTCAACCATTTCCATTCCATCTTCACTAGAAAGAGAATAAAACAAAACTTAATACACATGAATATAGGGAGATGTAAGAATACAATATTTGGGGACGTCTAGAGTGCTGGATAGTATTAAGATTTTTTCAATTTCTTTCAGTAAGGCAACAAAGGTAGCTTTTTTTCCATTCCTCTGTCCATATAGTAAACTTTGATATATATGTATGATGGTTTGTTATGGAGCCGAGACATTTTCACAGATATGGTTAAATTTTAGGGGAACCCAGTATGATTAAATTTTTCACATATTGTGAAACCCCCAAAGGCCCCAATGTGATGCGGCTTCTGCAAGTAATAAGTCCCTATTTTCATACAGTTAAATTCTACAAACATGCTAAAAGTTCCATTCTTTACAAATATTTAATACCCTTAAAGTTTTTACATCTTTATTCATTTTTACAGTCTTCTGCTCTTCAAAAAAGCACAAATGGTTAAGCTCAGTCAATTACTTAAAATAGCAGCATGTCCAATATCATTGCATAGAGTTTTTTTTTATTTCTAATTATAGTTGTGTTCCTCAGTTTGACATGCATTAGGGATATTGACCCAGATGTCTCAGTTATTTTTGCTGTTTGGTTGCTGTCTCATTTATGTATAAATCTTTTAACATGATGAGAAAGTATAGAAATCCTGTTTAAATCTTCACCTTTTCTTGTGTTGTTCTTGTTTCAATTATAAAGTACATGTAAACATGATAAAATCCCCTCAAAGATGTAATTAGAATGTTGGCGAGATATGTTATCTGTGTTGGCCTGCATAAAACACAGGTCAATAATCGGTATCATTAACTCATAATATCTAACAAGGTATTCCCATGCATAATATACATCAGAAATGTTAGCATTTCTGTCATACATGTATTTGCATAAGATTGCAAATAATTACTTAATTTAACTTAAAACTTTAAATGAACCATGTACAAAAAAAAAATAATACAGTAAGACCTAAATGGTCAATTGCATATATACTTGTACATAATGATAAATGATACACTATATACATTAAACATGTACAGTATTCGCTAACTTTGGTTAAAAAGAATTTCCAATCAATATTTCATAATGTTCCTTTTGAATTTGTTAAAGTTCTTCATCAATAATTTGAATTTGTCAATCTTCTTGCATTTTCTGAATCAAAATTGTAATACAAATATCTTTGTATAAGTCCTTTTCACATTTATCATGTTTATTAAGCATGTTCTAGACACCTCTGTGAATATTTGCAACGAGAAAGTTCTGTTAGGGGTACTATATATTATATATACATTAAGTACATGTATCTGATATTATTAGCAATAGAAAGCTCTGATTCAAAAACTTTGTTTGTTTTAACAGTTTTTTCCTGTGTTTATCTTGTTCCAATACATTTGTACTTCATTTTCTGTATATTTCAAATAAAGAAAAAAAAAAGTTTATAGAAAATAGACTTTGACCCACAAAAAATCATACTGCTTAAAATAAAATTTCTCATTTTAACATAAAATCCCTAGCTCTCATCACAATAAACTTGTTGGTGCCAAACAGATAATAGTTGAAATTTTTTCTAGAAATGTTTAATTTCAATAACTCAACTTTGTATATAAAGTTGTGATTGAATATATTTTTCATAAGTACTAGTATCATCATAAACTTGCTATGAATTTACTTCAAAGAACATTTTTACATAAAATTGCAGTATTTTTTTCTTTGTGAATTTAAAGTTCCTTTGGACTGCAAAAGTTCCAAGTAAAAATCTATTTATATTCAGCTTCCAGGTATGTATCTATTAATAATATATATAAAAATCATTCTGAGAAAATAGTTTTATTTGAAAATAAAATTTACAAATTACTATTAAGTACCTTAACAAAATTAAATCAATATTTCAAATTGGTAATGAATCTAATATTTCCTTTTATAATTCAAATAAGTTAATTTTTCCGTAACAGGTCTTCCTTCATATTATAATAAAATGCTCCGCTGGGGCGCAGCTTGATACGACCGCAGAGGTCGAACCCTGAACAGTTGGGGCAAGTATGGACACAACATTCAAGCTTGATACAGCACTGAATTTGGATTGTAATTAAATATTTGACACAGCATAGGTTTCTGACACAGAATGAAAGTGGTCTAAGAACTTAAAAATTTTCAATTTACCTATTCATACATGTGATGGACTGTGAAACTCAGATCAGGAGATTGGGAAATTTTGGTCAGGAGATTAGGACTCAGATCAGGAGGTTTTTAATCGACATTAATTTTGTTGTAAATGTAACCGTGTGCTGTAAAAATGGTCTTTTAAAGTGTGTTTTCTTCAACTTTCCAACCAATTTATTATGTTTATAGTACCCTTGTACTTATAAAGTTTCTCCATCTTTATATTCTACATGTTCAATCTAACATTGTTTTTTTCCAGTATGTTCTTTAAATTTTTTACTTCATATTCTATAAAACAATCATTGCAACCAGAACATTTGTTTAGCTGTCTGCAAATAGTTTTTATTTTTTTTTTTTTTCTCTTGCAAATAGTTTTTATTTGCAAACTCAGAAATTCATTCTATCTGTAAAGTTAGGGTCATAGTTATTATATAAATTTCAATTTAAGCCTTAAAAGAAAGTATAGAATCCTCAAATAATTTTCAAATTATTATTTTTTTATTTGTCCTAAGACATTTAAAATCATTTAATAGCCATCCTTTTATGATTATTTGTTCAATTTATATTTTATTTATATTCTTTTAAAAATTTTCATTATTAAAAGGAAAGTAACTTAAAACAGGATAAATCAAGGGAAGTAACCCAATAAATACACAGTTTTTGTTACACAACGGCAGTTAGCCTGAGGTAAAAATCGTTGCTTACCAGTATGTTTGACACCCAAGCTGACAAGTGAAGCCATATAATTATGCATGTTAATTGATTTACAGGTAAAATATAACTTCAGGTAATGTCAGTTACACCAGATGCCTGAGATGTTATGTTGGGCAGAAATTTTTCATTCATGAAAAATTTCATACACGGGATTTTTTCAACGGGAGGTCGGGAGGTTCACATGTATGCCTATTCAAACCATATCATTATTATTTGCTTTTATATATAAATCAGAAATAACCAATTTAAAATGGAAAATGTTAAAGAAAAAAAAGGAAAAAAAAAATCCCCCCCCCCAATTTTTTGAACCCCCTTATGATTCATCGCCCCCAAACTCAATCCCAGCTTTCCCTTTGTGGTATGGTACCTTGCAGTACAATTTCAGAGAGATTCATACACTTGAACACAAGTTATTGTCTGGAAACTAGAAAAATGCTTGTTTTTTGGCCCCATTTTTGGCCCCAAATTCCTAAACGTTTAGGGCAATTACCCCCAAACTCAATTCCAGCTTTCCCTTTGTGATATGGAACCTTGCAGTACAATTTCATAAAGATCCATACACTTACACACAAGTTATTGTCCTGAAACTAGAAAAATGCATGTTTTTTTTGCCCTTTTATGGCCCCTAATTCCTAAAATTTTGAGGGAAAACCCCCAAAATCAATCCCAGCCTTCCCTTTGTGATATGGAACCTTGTAGTACAATTTCATTAAGATCCATACACTTACAAACAAGTTATTGTCATGAAACTAGAAAAATGCTTGTTTTTTGCCCCTTTTTGGCCCCTAATTCCTAATATTTGGAGGAAATTACCCCAAAAATCAATCCCAGTATTCCCTTTGTGATATGGAACCTTGTAGTACAATTTCATAAAGATCCATACACTTACAAACAAGTTATTGTCATGAAACTAGAAAAATGCTTGTTTTTTGCCCCTTTTTGGCCCCTAATTCCTAAAATTTGGAGACAATTACCCCCAAAATCAATCCCAGCATTCTCTTTGTGATATGGAACCTTGTGGTACAATGTCAGAGAGATCCATACACTTACACACAAGTTATGTCTGGAAGTTACAAAAATGCTTATTTTTGGCCCCTTTTGGCCCCTAATTCCTTAACTGTTAGTACCATAACCCCCAAAATCAATCCCCACCTTCCTTTTGTGGTATTGAACCTTATGGTAAAATTTCAATGAGATCCATTCACTCAAACTAAAGTTAGAGTGCGAAAACTAATGTGTATAATATTTGGACGACGACGAAGACGACGACGACGACGACGCCAACGTCATACCAATATACGACCACAAAAATTTTTTTGCGGTCGTATAAAAACACATATCATATAATTTTAACATTTGTATACAACATGTACAATGCACACCTATTTTTTTGGGTAACCACAACCAATGAAAAATAATTATATACAAATCATAGATTTAAATAATTTGATATTGATTTTTAACATCTAACAACTGATATCAATGATAAAAATAAATATGAAAATATTTAAACTATTGAGGATGTCAATACTGTACTACCATTTGTATCTACAGGTAGATTTAAATACAATTTAATTATCTAATTTCAGAATCATTTGGATGACAACCAATATCGATAAACTAGTATATTAAATCTTAAACCTGCAGTGAGGTGAGAGTTTTTTGCTCCGTGTTGGGGCCTCAATGTGACTTTGAGATGAAGAACAGCAATACAGGTGTTTTTTTGCTGTGCATGTACTGATTTTGTGTCATGGATGGATACCCCATATCCTTTGTTTTTCTATTATATATACAACTTTTGAAACTTTTAATTTGGCAAAGAATGTAAAATATATGTCTAGGTCAAAATTTATGGACTTTCTGGTGTGTAGAGTTATTCATATTTATACTATTAAAATTTCAAAATATTATGGATATTTTACACATATTTTGGTTACTTATATATCAACATGATCAACGAATCAAAAAAAACAAAAAACATTTTATTCTTAACATGGCTAGATATCTATAACATACATAAGACTTTTATCAATGATAGAAAGTCCCAACGTTTTAGAAGGAGAAAACATTTTGAACCCCTGCATCCTAAATAGAATAAACTGCTTCGCCAAGCGCAGCTGGATATGACCGCAGAGGTCCAACCCTGAACAGTTGGGGCAAAAATGAACACAATATTCAAGCTTGATACAGGTCTGAATTCGGATTGTAATTAAATATTTGACACGTTATCGGTCTCTGACACAGAATAAATGTAGTCAAAGAACTCGAAATTGGTTATATGATTTGAATTTATATTCAATTGAAGATTTCTTGCTTTCTGCAATACACTGTGCTGTTGCATAATACTTAGTAAATATGTTTTCAGACTATAAACAAAGAATTAGCCAAATAAATTGTGACCCTCAATTTTTCTTTGGAAAATTGACAATTTCTTGAATCCTGAAGAAAAAAAATTGACCCCCTCCTCCCTTATCAAAAAAAAAAAAAAAATATTTGAAGAAATTTTCTTTTTCATTTCTCAAATCTTGAGGGAAAAAAATTGCCCCCCCCCCGAACAAACAAAATTTTTTTTTACCCCCCCCCCCCCCCCCCCCCCCCCCTTTTCCCCAAAAAAATATTTAAAGAAAATTTTCTTTTTTAAAAATGTGGTACAATTTACACTTAAACACAAATTATTGTCTGAAAACTAGAAAAATGCTTGTTTGAGACCCTTTTTGGCCCCTAATTCCTTAACGGTTTGGGCAATTACCCCCAAAATGAATCCCAACCTTCTACTTGTGGTATTAAACCTTGTGGTACAATTTCAGAGCAATCAAAATACTTATACACAAGTTATTATCCTGAAACTAGAAAAATGCTTGTTTTGGGCCCCTTTTTGGCCCCTTATTTCTAAACAGTTTGGACCATCACCCCCAAAAACAATCCCAACCTTCCTTTTGTGGTATTGAACCTTTTGGGAAAATTTCATAGAGATAAATACACTTTAACTTAAGTTATTGTCCAGAAACCAAATGTCTACTGACTACGAAGACGACCACAACGTGATACCAATATACGACCCCAAAATTTGTTTGCGGTCGTATAAAAATACAACTGTGGATTCATTCTTTTTTGTGGAATACCAATTTTTTTTATGAATTTCTACGGTTTAGGTGAACCAAATTAAGATATTAAACGAAGTACAAATTTTCGTTTAGCTTGTATTCAGATTTTAGCAATACCCTAAAATCAGTAACAACAAATATAAATAAATCCACAGTGTATAGATATTCATGTGTGTATGCATAAAGTTAATTTATCTTTTTTTCTCTGCGTGCTATGTATGTAACTAAAATATCTTTCAATCTATTTTCATTTCAATAATTAATTTACTGCTAAAGATTTGGCAATTTATAAGTGTGCAGTCAGTGATACAATTCTGTATACTTACAGCTGTCCTCGACCAAAACTGTTTCCCTGAAAAATAAAATCATTGAATTCAGTATAGTTATTGCAATTTAAAGGAATTACTTAAAGATATAATTACTGCAGACCACATTATTTTTTGACCAAATTTTTGTAATGCAAATTTCGCAAATAGTTTAACATGATAAATAGCGCTATCACTTAAATCATAATAAATATGTCAAATTTTGATCTTCTCTTTTAACATGTTTAAGAAGACATCAACAAAATACGAGAATTGACAAAATGTTGGTTTTCAATTCTAGCAATGTTCAACGCATTCTGTATACATAGAGTATCTGGGCAACAGATAGTAAAATAAAAAATTCAGGTATACTATATTCATGTGGTTAGCCTCAATGAAAGAGCTACCAAACAATACAGAACTCTACCTCCTGTAACTCTATATATATATATACATCTTTCTAATGTTTTTAGATTACAGATTTCATGGAGGTTGACCCCACATCTCCCTTTATTCTAAATCATATAGAAACTAGAAATTTTAAGGTCTTCATGCTATTTTCAACAATTAAAAAATCTTGACATATAATGGATGTAGTGAGTAAGTCAGCCCGTTATAGATATCTTATGTAGACATTTCATAATAGTTCTTACTTAATTGGTTTACCTCTGATACAAAAGTAATCCTAGGTAAGCCATTTATTATATATCAATTCCTCCTACACAGACTATTGTAAAATGTGTGTAAACCTCTTACTATCTTAATGAGGTTTTGAATGACAAAAACAAATGAAAAGGATCGGCTAAAATGAAATAAAATTATCTGTTCAACTATACTGCTATGGACATGATGGAAATAGCATCAAAAATTATTTGAAAGTATTTAAAAAAAATGTCATTGACCTAAAGGTTTTTATTTTCTTTACCAAAGGTTCAATGAACTGTTTTAGACTCAACATCAATCTTAGAAAATTCCAGATGTTAAGTTTGGTTAACTTGTGTTGTTAGATTCACACTGGCTATATTTTCCAAATCTCCATATTGGGTTTTAAGAACAAGGGGACCTAATTAATGCATCATTCATACAGTACTGTACATGCACATATCATAAGTGTTTTTAACCAGATTATGTAATAATTCAGTGTTCTCCTCAAGACCTTTTAGCATTGATCATTGTTATATATGTGATGGTATATTGCTTGAATGGGACCCTATCTGAAATGTTTAATTTTTCTTATAGCTTGTTTTATGAATGTCATGCTATAATTTCTAGAAACAAGATGGTACAATCTATTCAAAATTCCCTGTATAATACCAGGATTGTATATATATGAAATTTGTGTTGTAAATTTGCTGAATAAACTGATGTTACATTCATGTTTTTATTTGAACATCAACTTACTTCATATTCAATTTCATTCTATATATCTCTCAACATTTCTTGAAGTCTCAACCTCACTCTGTTTACAATCAGACTCACTACCAATCCTACTTTCTACTTCACTACATGTAGCTGCCACCTCACTATTCATTAGCTTATTACACTCTAGGATTTAACTTTTAAGGTAGAAAAGCATCACATCAGAGTGGCCCCATGGATTGTTATTTGTATGATTACATTCAATTATAATCCTCTTAACTCTTATCAATCAACCATAAAGATGAGATACAAAATTCAAGGTTTTATCATAAAATGTAGACAATGTTTGCTGTTAATTAAGTTTTATTTTTAAAGGCATATAAATGTATACATTTTGTTACACTGCCTAAAAAGAATATATCTTTAATGCTCATATGGTCTTATGGATAAACAACACATGGCACACATTACTTCATACTTTGAATGTAACGTAAGAGTAATATCAACAGATGATAGTCAACTTCACTACCTGGAATTTTCTGGAATATTTAAAGTCAATTCAGTCATCTAATCTTAAGCCAACAATGCATGCACTTTAACAAGTATTATAAGATAATATAATATGTGACTGGTATATATAAAGCAATGATGAAAATGCACGGAAAAGTAGACAAAAAATTGAGAAGTGCCTATTCCCAACCTTTAAAAGTGCCCTGGTCTCCACTCAGACACCCTGCCCCTTTCAATTTCTAGTCGCAGCACTGAATATTTATGTCTGAATTGGAAGATTTATACAGATATACATGTATAACTATATCATGATATTTTGGTCAGTATGTCAGTCAACATCATAGATAAATCTGTTTACTGCATAAAGTAAACCAAATCATGGACAGTTACGTATACAGTTTACCTTTCTTAAAAATGATCATATATCTAACATCTATGTAGTATCTGACAGTTATTTTCTTACTGTGTCAAACAAAATAATTCAGTAAACCGATATCACTACATGTATCTGTTCTTGTAGAATCAATCCGATCTGAATTAACTAGATATCATTGAGATGGGAGCCATCTCTGTGGGCCCCGCTGTGAATAATGTGTGGTAAAAAATTTGTATCTTTATCATTGGACATGGGGTTGTCAAATGAAACCAAAGTTTTTGACCTTGACCTTTAACCTAGGAAGTTGTACATAAATTATGACACACCCTCTGGTGTTGGTTTATATACATATCAAGTATAAACTTTGAAATCATAACGGTTCTCAAGATATAGAGCGGACACGATCTTTACCATAGGACATGGGGTTGTCAACTAAAACCAAAGTTTTTGACCTTGACCTTTGACCTAGGATGTTGTACATACATTATGACACACCCTCTGGTGTTGGTTAATATACATATCAAGTATAAACTTTGAAATCATAACGGTTCTCAAGATATAGAGCGGACATGATCTTTACCATAGGACATGGGGTTGTCAACTAAAACCAAAGTTTTTGACCTTGACATTTGACCTAGGAAGTTGAACATACATTATGACACACCCTCTGGTGTTGTTTAATATACATGTCCAGTATAAACTTTGAAATCATAACGGTTCTCTAGATATAGAGCGGACACGATTTGTTACGGACGAACGGACAGACAGACTGATCACTATAGGGCGGTCGCCATTCGGCGGGGCCCTAATAAATTATTCAAAGATTTTTGCTTGGTACAATCATATTAGTACAGTGTATCCGCACTTCCCTCTACTGTTTAGATGAAGAACAGTAATAAAAGAGCCTTTGAGAAGTGTCCTTTTTTACAAATTTACAATTATTTTTTTTACGTCTTTCTTTACAAAATGAAGGTTGAAAATGTGACCAAACTACAATACTTATGAGCATGGATATTATTGTGTGAATTTACAATGTTTATTAGATAATGTGTCTCTACTGTTTGATCTTAACTAAAATCTATAGCTCACACATGTGACATTTGATTTTTTTTTTCAACTTTGAGTCATTCAATATGACTTTCATATCAACTTGTTGAAGGTTACCACAATATGTCTGTTTTGAAAAAAAAACAATGTATGTAATATATGAAAACAAAAAAATTTGGTATGATATCTAATGAGACACTAGAGACTCAATGACACAACTCTCCACCAGAAATTCAGGGGTAAGCAACTATAGGTCAAAGTACAACCTTTCATAATGAGCAAAACTCAAGGCACAGCAAGCTATAGAAGGCCCAAAAAAAAAAAAACGTAAAACAATACAAACATGAAAACTAATGGCCTGATTTATGTACAAAACAATAGGAGAAAAAACAAATATGATATAAACAGCAAGGAATTACAGGCTCCTGACTTGGGACAGGCAAATACAGAATGTGGCAGGAATAAACATGTTTGTGGGCTTCCAACCCTAACCTTAACTCATCAGATCGATACAAAGCACAAAAACAACTAATAAAATCACAAAAGATACAGATCTGAGAGTACTCAAATTTACATAAAGCTAGTTCAAAGCCAATAACAACTAAATCAAAAATCATGTATAACATCCAATGGATTTAGTGTAAAGACGTCATAAACAGTCAAAGAAAAACATGACCTTGTGCAATGCGAAAATATAGGTATGGACATGATGGACATAATTTTTCTTATTATAACAAAATCAATATAATTAATACTGATAAAAACAATATTCAAAGATCTCCTTACAGTGTTAAATTAGTAACCTTTTTGAATAAGCTTATTCAAAGGATTGATAAGTTTACACTGTTCCTATCTGAATTTACGGGTTTGAAAAACCACATCACCGTAAAAATTAGGACATGCTTTACTATTAGTAATAGGTTTTCTACATACATGTACAGTCAAATCCCCAAACCAAATCTTTGTATCTATGAAAGAATTTAGTAAAGGTTTTAAGTAATTTGTGGTAACAAAATCCTTGACTTAAATTAATAATTTACCAGCAATACATAGATTATGTTCATTAAAATCCAAAACATCACTACAGACACAGACATAGCAAAGGAGTTGTGATATATATTAACATTGAAGATGAGGCAAAGGAACAACAATGTATGTTGGTGAACAAAACTTTTACTGTAAAAAATATACATTCAATTTCCAGTTAAGTTTACAGTTTTTGAAGCATAAGATATTTTCAAATAAAGATTATTCAGAAAAAAATTATCCATAATAAAAGCGCAGAGTTCCAATGTCCCCCCCCACATTGCATATATATTATCTATCCAAGGTACAAGGGCAAAAACTAAAAAAACACACTTCTGTTTTGTTCTTTTAAAACTTTTTATTAATATCTAAGAGAAATGTAGGCTTCAGAGCAAATGCAATGTGATTTCCGTTATAAATAATATTTCCAAGGGACATAACTCTTTTTAAAATAATTGATAGGCACTGATTTTTGAATTCATGGAAGACATTGCTGGTATAAACCTATGATATAAGTTTCATAAAAATCTGGCAAGAATTGAACATATGAGAGCGCTAACAATTTGCAATTTTCCATTTAATTAATGTTTCCAAGGGGCATGACTCTTTTAAAAATAATTGATCAGCATTGAATATATCGTCAAAGACCATGATGATGTAAACTGATAATATTAATTTCATAAAAATCCTGCAAGAATTGTACACATGAGAGTGCTCATAAGGCAATTTTCCATATAATTAATATTTCCAAGGGGCAGAACTCTTTTAAAAATAATTGATCAGCACTGATTTTCATACTCGTCAAAGATATTGCTGATATAAACTTATGATTTAAGTTTCATAAAATTCTCGCAAGAATTGTACACGAGAGCACTAACAATGCAATTTTCCATATAATTAATGTTTCCAAGGGGCATACATGTAACTCTTTTAAAAATAATTGATCATCACTGATTTTCAAACATGTCCAAATAATTGCTGATATACATACACCTATGATATAAGTTTCATAAAAATCTGGAAAGAATTGTACACATGAGAGCGCTAACAATGCAATTTCAATATAATTAATGTTTCCAAGCTATATAACTCTATTAAAAAAAATTGATTGGCACTTCCAACTATATATCTAGCACTAAAAAGATCTTTTTTTATGGCAAAAAAGAAAAGAAAGTATCATACATCAATTAAAATTCAACCAAAAAAAAATTCTGTTTATCATGTTTACATGAAACAATGCATTTACATGGAAATATAAACATTTAGCAAGGAGATCTAACCAAAAGTTTTTTAAGAGCGTGGAATGCAAAATTTTAACTTTTGGGATCTTTATTCTTCTTTCAGCTGTTCCATTGGTGCACTGTAGTTATTATTGCAAGAATATGGATTTCGGTAATAGCTGATCTGCTTCTGATGAATCCCGCCTCCAATTCGTGGTTTGTACAAATATATCAATGGCGGACAAAGAAAAATTTACGAAAATAAACAATATTTGACAAGCGATTTGGAAAGGAATATGATGCTTTTAATGCAATAAATGGATGAAACATTAACTAAGGTAATTTAAGTAACGTTTTACATGTTTTTAATGAAGAAACAAACTTATTTTGCTGGAAATCAGAATGTTTTGATATACGCTCTCGAGTAACAATTACCGGATGTGAAAGAAAATACTTCATCAAAGTTGTTTCTTTGAAATAACATGAATAACATACGACCAATCTGTAAAGTCAATACTTTCAAAGCTTTTCAAACATGTCTAAAGAAATAAATCGTCTCTGTCTTTGAATTTATTTACCTATAAAAGAAAAATTTCTGTTTTATTGACTTGGTAAAAATGAAAATTGCCAATGAGGAAAGTGACTGCAAGCGACTATTAAGAACACGGATCTCCTGTAGTTGGTGATCGCAATACTGGTATACCAGTATTGCCCACAATACTGGTATAAAAATTTTGTACCAGTATTGTAATTTTTAAAAAAAAAACAGCAATACTGGTACATTACTGATATACCAGTATTGTAGTTGTACTGTTCACTATACTTTAAGGTGTATAATGAAAAATGAATTTTAAGCAAAATTAGATATGGAAGATCAAAGGGAGATTAAATGAACTCAAAAAGATTATAGAGGATAATTGTGAAATCAAACAACCAGTTAAAAATAATTGCTATAATTGTACAAATAAACAAAAGATTATTGTAATTAAATCATCTTATTCAAACAACTGTTAATTATATAAATAGTTGCTAATAATTTTATCATATTTCTATATTTTATTTAATTCAATTTAGATAAAATAAAATAAAAGCTTTATTATCTGAGTTATTATTTAATAAATTCAAGCAAATTATTACACTATAACACTGTAAATTCAGCATTTACATGTATGCCATCGTATATTTTTTACAGATATTTTAATACATGTACAATGTATACTAAGATTCTAAGCATTTGTTTGTGTTTATTTTCTTATCAATCTTTCACAATAAACATGATAAAATATATTAATAGATATAGGAAGATGTGGTATGAGTGCCAATGAGACAGCTCTCCATCCAAGTTACAATTTATAAAAGTAAACCATTATAGGTCAAGGTACGGCCTTCAACGCGGTGCATTGGCTCACACCTAACAGCAAGCTATAAAGGGCCCCAAAAAATTACTAGTGTAAAACCATTCAAACGGAAAATCAATATCCATTAAACATAAAAAGTTGCTTAATAGGGGAACCTGATTATAATCAAATTAACTACTTTTACTAGTTTGTCTACATGAATGTTAAGGGTAGTTAAAGCAGTTGATTCAGAACCATGGGCAATACAATTTGTAGCAGATATATCTTCTGGTACAAATACTCAAATACTAATACTAGACAAGCACTCCTACAGTAAGAGAGCCGTACAGGTGCTATCTAAACAAGCTTGTAATCCAGCAAGCGTAAGAGAAAGTCCACAGACTGAATACATAAATATCAATATAGGAAGTGGGGATTTCAGAAATGCCATCTGAAGAAGAAATAAACAATACCAATGCTGATGATACAGAAGCTATAACAGCATTAATGTCAATATAAAATTCACTAAAATATACTATTGAGACTTGGAAAGAGAGAGCTGGAAGAAAACAAAGAAGAAAGTAAAGAGTTTGTTAAAATGCTGAGACAGTACGGTTCCCTTAAGAAAAAAAACATCAGAAGATTTAAAACTTTCTTTGATTACAATCACAGTGTACCATTAATGGCATCATCAGTTAAACATACAATCATTCCATATAAAATTGTCATGTCATATGTTATTATCATTATGCATATATACGTGACACCTTTAATAAAAGATTAATTACCTATATATGTATTGTTTATTTTAAAAAAACACAATACTGGTACAATACTGGAATACAATACTGGTACAAAATTTTTATACCAGTATTGTGCACAATACTAGTATACCAGTATTGCGATCACCAACTACAGGAGATCCAAGAACACCAGGGCGACTAGATATCGCATTTGACGGTTGGGGAAAGCGAAGTCACAGACCTGAAAACGACTTTTTAGCACAAAATGCCTGCTAGCGTGAGCCCTGGGTAAGAGTTGGCGTGCTACTGATCTGCTTATAGCAGCCTCACTCTACAATTTGACATCACACAAGAAAAATTTTGACACGAAAAAACAAAAGGGATTGTTGTATGACATTAATAGGTCAGTTGCCTAAGAATCCCAAATAGAAATAATATGCATAGTCCACTATAGTCTATACTATATGGTTTTATAACTGAAGTGGAGATCTATTTAGGACGATCAACAGGTAAGCATGGTGAAGATTAAAAAAAGATCTTTTATCTGTGAAAACCATCATGCATTTGATAAGAAGCTTTTATCTTTGAAAAAATACACTTGGTTTAAATTGTAAAAGTTGCATCATCGGTGTGTCATATAATTTTTTTAAACTGTTAATAAAGGCACCATACGTACTGGTTCATCAGGCTCAAAATAATCGTCGTCTGAAATATCCTCCTCCCCTTCAGGGGTATCGTGAAGCTCGAGATCAAAAACACCGGCCATACTTCTACATTTGGATAAATCTGTATATGTCTGTCTTGTAAATTATGATTGTTTTACATTCATTCAGACAACGACGTTAGGAACTAAGGCGAGGGATTCCTAATGACGTAGAAAATATCACATGGAACACTCTTCCGGTTGAAGAATATCCAATAAAATTCCGTTTAAACAATAACGGAAGTCATTTTTAAAAGAACAGTTAATTTCATTGGACCAGTCTTTGTTCCATTTTTAGAAACGGTGCGATACCAGCTCTGAAGTGATCGTTTCTTCATAACAGATTGAAAGAACTAGAACTACTATGAACGAATAATTCACGTAGAATCTTAATACCATGAACCCTTAAAAAATGGCATTATTAACAAATAAATATTGTGATTTTTTTCTGTCAAAAGCTTTTCAATTATTGAGTTTGGCCCAAAGAACTGTAAAGCGCACCTGCAGGGACAAAATTATATAATTCCTGTTTTAATAGAAATCTCCCAAACAGATCAAAACTGATCTGAAGATAACACTGACTTTTAATGAGGTTGATACAATAATACAATAATGTATCAACCCAAGAGATATGATATTCACTGAGGCATACGGGTGAGGGTGATTGTCATAGCTAGCTCTGGGGTTTATAAATCATTGTATCAATTGAAATCCAAAGTCAACAATTGTTTTATTATATGACTTTTTATCCTTCTCCAATTTTCTAGTATTTGCTCAGGATACTTTTAAAAACTGCTCCCTGTTTTTATTCTAAATATATCACCTGCTTTTGCAGTTGCTTCATAAGTTGAAATATTCAATAATAAGTTTACTAAAATAATACACCGAAAACTGAGAAGAGAAAAAATACGCCTCAACAAGAAGAAAAAGAAAAAACAAAACCTACGTCATTGACGTTGCCTTGGAATATCTATGTTTAGGTACACGTTATATATTTGTTCCAAATCTTATATTAACCTCTCGTGATTTTTCCCGCGGTGAATATATAATGTTTTATCAAAGAAGACTCCGCGTATATATATGCTTTTAGCCAATGAAAAAAGGGAAATTTGTTAGTCATATAATAAAATTATATATTATTGTGTACATTATACAAACTGTATAGGTAAACAAATTTAGTACTCAGTAGAATACAAACTATAGTAGTCAACGCCGGGAAATTTGTCCAGCTTTGTTTTTCTATATTTTCTATATATTTATATACACCAGCACATTTTCTAGTGATATGAAGATTTATTTCTGTTTAATTGTCAAAATAGTAAAATCGTCATCACTTTGTATTCAGTTGACCGTAATCAAACTTGATTGTAATGTATACTGGGCGTCATAATTGACAATAAAAAAATGTCGATTGTATTGTAAAGAAGTTCTATTTCAAAGCAGTTAGAGTTCCAGATGATATTGCTGAACTGTTTCCATCTATAGTCGGATAAAACAAGGCTGTGTTTTAAGCCCTTCCTTTTTTGCTATTCATTTGAAATACTTAATCACCCTTTTTGATCACACGTGTGCTCCTGTTACGTTAGCATTACACGATATATGTCTTTTATACGCTTATAACTTAATATTAATGCGGATCCGAAAACTGTTTGAAGATGTTAAAAGGATACTGTGAGAAATATAGAACTTAACAGGCAATGTTCACGCGACAAAGGCAATGGTATTTAATAAAAAATGTTAAGAAAATTGCGAAAGACAGGTTAATTTTTGAAAATGAATTACTGAGATAAACATTGCACAGACACAGAATACAAATATTCAGAAATATTGTTTTAGCCATATATGGAGTTTCCACCAATGCAGCTATTCTCCTTTGTAGAGAATCCTTTAGGGCATTGTTTTGTATTGAACAAATGCTATATATTCTGATCAGACAGATGATTTTTTTCTCATATGAAACTTTTGAATTCTTGTGTTAGTTCAATTCTTCTTTAATATTGTATGACAACTTTTAAAATATTATAAAGAACAACAAAATTGTTGAGTCTCAATATTTGTAAATAGATCAGTAAAAAATCGAATCAAATCAGATAAGGTTCTACTTCGAGTTAGTTCAAAGGCGGTGATTATAGCTGTATTAGTTGTATTAGGAATGTCTTTTATTTGTATTCAGACTCTTCTATAGGATTCTGGCTGCATATTTTAAACTCAAAGGAGTCTTTACTTCATAATATTTATAAAGTTAACAAGCAAATACGTGAATGATACGCCTCAAAATTTTTTTTACTATCCATATTGAATTTTTCTCATGTTGGGGAAACTCAAAGTACAAAAACGATTACTCTCTGCCTTAACATAAAATAATAATGAAAATTACAATTTATTTTGAAAAAAAACTTGTCTTTTTAATGACGAGAAATTGATTAATGGAAATAAGTTAAGAACTTATAAATAGAAAATTTAAAGTAAAGACGTACGAACTTGAAAGCCGATATCTTTTATTAAATTCAAATTAAATGTAATAAAGAACTATGTCAAAGTAAGAATCAGTAACAGCACGCTAGTTACATGATTGTGTTGACCGTAATGATATAATTATAAAAAAAACTTAAGAAAAATACAGTTGTGCCCTATGTAATATAGAAGTAAATAATGAATTCCGTTTTGTAATTAAGTGTACACATCTGAAATTTCCGATGTTATCCCGTATTTTATTTCAATGAGTAATGTAAGGTGGTATGATTTATGTATTATCAGATTTAGTTCTTTCAGTTTGGTTTCGGTAGCTATGAACAACTATAGGTAAAAGGGGGAGAGTTGTTTACGCAAAAGGCCGGGAGATGGCTGAACATTTGTATAAAAAACAGTAAAAGTAAATTAACCAATCATTGGGCATGTACTGGTTTGCATTTTTTTATTGGTAACGTATTTGTTAGTTTACGTTTTGTTGGACGCATTTTTTCAAAAGACAATTGACATTTTAATGGGAACAAACTGTGCTCCTCTTTTCTTCTACTTGTTTTTTTTTATTATTTGCATAAGGCAAATGACACCATTCTTCAAAAATGGAACTGAGCTAGCACTGTCATTTAACTTCACGTTCAGCTATACGAATGATGTCTGGTCACTAATTAATTCACAGCATGGTGATTATTTTGATCACATCTATCACACTGAACTTGAAATGAAGGATACTACAGATCATCGGCAGTCAGTATTGCTTCATAACTTGAGCATGTTGAGTTACATCTAGAATTGACAGTGACGGTCGGTTGAGACCTAAACTTTACGACAAATTAAAAGGGTTTGAATTTTCCATGTGAACTTTTATACAACTTGTAAAACTGGAATATATTTTGAGAAGCAGGCAAAGGATAATAGAATGTGAACGAACATTAACGACGTGTACAAACAACAACATTCTAGTAGCATCGGCATGTCGTGCATACATTTCAAAGTTGATCGTTACTTTCGTGATAGCTTCTATCTTAATACTGACAAGCATGATATTGATATATCAATACTCATAGTCTCTTCGGAAGATTCATGAGTTCTCAATCAGTTTTTTATGGAGTACTCGTGTCATTTAATTTTCTCTGCAGTCTGCAGTGCTTTGTGATATGCCATTTGTATGTTCGCCTTCTTCTTGCAAATTTAGATTACACCCTTAGTATATTCTCCTCTGTTTTATATTTTATTTTTTTATTATCAGACATCGTAATTCTGTTAACTTAGGAAGGCTGAATATATGGGAAAGTAGATAAAGAGCGGATGAACAGGAGAAAACAATCTCTTGTTATATTAAAGATTAACATAAACCTTTGTCGAGGAAATGGAAATGCATGTACATTCAAATACCGACATGTTCCTCACATCACTTCACTTGTATGGAAAACGTAGATATAAAACCATTTGCCATTTAAACTGATTACTGGTGAACATATCAATTATTCATAAAATAAACAATCCAATCCAATAAATCAAAAGATATCTAACGACTGATCAAAGAACACACGAATCCACGAATCATGGTTGTTCTGTCACTTGTTGAATATTTTTCGCTATTTGACGCAGGTAGGTTAATGTACTTTAAAAAAAAACTGGCACTGAATATCGGTGTTTGCATCGAAATCTAAATCTGACGTCATTTACCAAACTACGCGGAATCTGATTGGCCTGATCGTTCCATCAACGTCAAGGTTGGGCTTGCACATCACGTCATACTTCGTGATCATCAGCTGATCGGGCACCTTGTCATGAGTGTCTTATCACGTAAACACACGTTTCAAAGATGGATATTGCTATTATTTTGAGGTAAGTTTGTTTCAAATTATCATATTCTTTTACTGCCAAAGGCCGTATATTTCATTTCATTGAAGGAAGATTATACATCTAGATCAAAATGTACCTTTCTTTAAAAAGGGGTGTTGATTTTCACATTTGGCGTTTTTCTGGCTATTTAAAAAACGGCAAGGACGAAAGGCAGTGTTTATAGAAAGTATAATTTTAGGCAATTCAAAATTACTTTACTAGTGTTAAAATAATGTGGGTGCTTATGAAAAAGTGCTGTCAGACTGACATGCCATGGCCATATTAGATCATATTATTGTGGAGGAAAACACTTCCATATACTTTGAGCATAAATCTTCAAATTACTCTTTAAGCATCATGAGTATGTCCCATTTTCTCTTAGGTATTTGATTTGTATAATCATTTACATATTACAAATACAAAGAAGGGGGTCAAAGAAAGAAAAAGAGAGCATAGTAAAAAATATGCATTTTTTAACTACATCATGGCACAGTGTGTGCAGTCATGCCAATAGCTTGTCTAAATTAAGTAAATTATCATTATAAGTAGGAATTTGATATATAAAAATAACTAGCTTTTATAATTATTTAGTATAATGTGACCATTTTTCAAACACAATATTAATTTCATTCATGTTTTAAAATCTCATATTAACATTTTATTTCATCACTTTTTGTGTTCATACATAGAGCAAATTTGATTTATTGATTTATTGCACTTTAAAAAGTGATATAAACATATTATCATTATATTGATTAACTATCAAAATTGACATGAGTTCTGTCTGTTGTAACTATGATGTCTAGTACAGATTAGGAGGACACTTTTGTTTATCAAAAAACACTTTTCAACTATTTAGAGTGTTAT